AACTCCCAGAACAGCCTCACCTCTTTCTGACCACTTTATGTTGAGGCTATAAAATGGTGGTTCGGCTGCATGGATGATTCACTGCATTGCCTACAGTTGTTACAGTGATAACTATATTTCATCAAATCTAAAACGCCATGGATGATAAGAATACCATCACTTTAAGAAAACATGTCCACAATTAAACTTACACACCCTCATTTTAAAGTCATGTCCTGATTTTAAGTTGTTAGAATGAGAAAACAAAAAAATAGGTGAGGGATACTTGGACCTCTGTGTATTAGTTTTGCAACTTCCTGTGAATCTGTAAACATTTCAAAATACAAAGTTTAGAAAAGAGAATTGGGTCAGAAAGTGGGAATATCCTTATATCCAGAATATATGATTCTTTCCAAAAGGAGATTATACCAACTTAAATTATTAACCAACTTAGAGAGAGTACCAGTATCCCTACATTCTCATCAGCATTTCCATTCTTTCAGTTTACTTGTTTTATTTGTCCACTCTTATTTTGGCCATTTGTTTCTCATACTGAGGTTATAGAAGCTAATCAAAATATTGATAAATGGTTTAGTGCTGTGATTTGTCTGATGTTTATATAAACAAAGCTTTAGTTTGAAAAAAATGTAAAACTCTACACAGCTGTTCATAGTACTTTATTCATAATAGCCAAAAACTGGAAGCAATCTTAATGTCCTTCAATGAATGAATGTTTAAATAAATTTTAGAACCAGTATGTCAGTTTCTATTTTAAACTCACACATGCACGCAGGCGCATGCAAACACACACACACACACACACACACACACACACACACACACACACACACACACCCTGATTGGATATATTGAATGTATTGATCAATCTGGGGAGAATTGACACCTTAATAATACTAATTCTTCTAGTTCATGAGCATGGTATGTCTCTCCTTTTACTTAGGTCTTCTCTGATTTCTTTCAGCAGTGCTTTGGAATTTTCAGTATCAAGGTCTTACAGTCTTTATGATAAATATACGTGTAAGTATTTTTTATGCTATTTTATGGGAAATTGCTTTTAAGTTCCATTTATTTGCTGCTAGAATACAGAAATGCAATTTATTTTTCTGTTTTGATCTTGTACTCTGAGACTTCGATAAACTCACTTATTCTAGTAGTTTTTGTTGTTGAAGTTGGTTATGCTTACTTAAAATTTTCTAAAAATAAACTTTATCATAGAATAGTTTTAAGTTTACAGAAAAATTGTGAAGATTGTGCAGTGAGGTCCTCTATACCTATACCCAGTTTCCCCTATTATTAACATCTTGGCAGTGACTATCTATTGTGTTTCTTTTGTTTTTGATGACTCTTAATTGGGGTTTGTCTGATTTTCAGTCATGCTTACACTGGGATTATGTGTTTTTTGGGGGGAAGACCATGGAGGTGAAGTGCTGTTTTTATCACCACATATCAAGGCTACATGCCACTGATAATGAATTATCACTATTGATGTTGACCTTGATCACCTGGATGAGAGTAGTGTTTCCTTAGGATTTTCTCTGTGAATAATCATGTCTACAAATAGGGACATTTCTTCCTTTCCAATCTTTATGCTTGCTTGTTTTTTGTTTTTTTTTGTTTGCCTTCTTGAATTAACTGGAAAGGCCAGGATAATGTTAAATGAAAGTGGTGACAGTGAATATCCTTCCCTTGTTCATGAGCATAGAGAGAAAGCATTCAGTGTTTCACCACTAAGAAAAGTATGAAGCTTATGTGTTTTTTGTGTTCCCTTTTTCAGACTGAAGTTCGCTTTTATACCTAGTTTGCTCAGTTTTTAACATGAATGGATGTTGAATTTTGTCAAATGCTTTTGTAGTATCCATACAAATGATCATATGGCTTTTCTCTTTTAAACTGTTAAACTAGGAGTCAGCAAACTTTCTGTAAAAGACCAGGTAGTAAATATTTTAGGCTTATTATAAAAACTACTATAAGCCATATGTAAACCAAAGGGTGTGGCTGTTTTCCCAATAATTTGGTTTGCAGAAACAAGCCACAGGCCTGATTTGGCCTGCCAGCCGCAGTTTCCTATAGCTAAGATTATTTGCTCAATCAAACTTGAGTCAGGCTCCTGAACCTTCTAGGCCCATCTGGGCACTTCTTTATAAAATCTAGTTTTAGCAAGAATCTTGCTAAATCAGTTTCACCAGAAACCACCACCCCTCTCTGCCTCTGATATCTGATCACCCTCAATATCTGATCAGGAATTGAACCAGGTTATGTACTGACACGTTTTCATGTTAGATTTAATCTGGCTTCATTAAACAAGTTGGGAAGTATTCCTTTCTCTTCTATTTTCTGGATGATAAAATTATCAACATTTCTTCTTTAAATGTTTGACAGAACTCATCAGTGAATTTGCTCAGCCTCGAGTCTTCTCTTTGGGAAGGTTTGGTAACAAAATTAGTCTATCTTTGATAAATATAGGTTGATATGCTTCTTTAAATAATTTAATTTTATTTGTTTTTGAACTTTATATAAATCTGTCATAGTGTTTATACCTTTGTTTTGCTCCTTCTCTTCCTAGAAGGGAAATTGCTTGTTCATAGAGGGCGTATTTATATTTCTAGATTAATTTGTGTGACCAGATGTTTTATTAACAAGCTTTTACAGATGAGTCTTTGATGAAGAAAGGAAAGAAGGAATCAACAAGCTATTTGTACTTCATGAAAATACATTAGTTTGTCAGTAGTTGGTATATACAAGGTTTTTAGGTGTTTTTTTGTTTTTGTTTTTTGGTTTTAGTTTTTGTTTTTTGGTTGTTTTTTGGATCATAGGTAGAATGGCTAGCTCTTTGATTTTGAAAAGGAGAACAAAAGCAGCATTTAGCAGGCATTTCAATTTAAAAAAAAATATTTATTGAGAGAGAGAGAGAGCATGAGTGGAAGGGGCAGAGGGGAGAGTGAATCTCAAGCAGACTCCATGCTGAGTGTGGAGCCCGACAGGGGGCTGGATCCCAGGACTCTGAGATCATGACCTGAGCCGATTAACTGACTGCACCACCCAGGTGCCCCGGCATTTCTCATTTTAAATGGCAGCTCAGCATCTATTGAACCCTTTTGCTATAAGCCTGGGGAATTTGCCAGTTTCGAATGCTGTTTTACCAGCTGCCCTTGGCGGCGTAGGCAGGAGGCCAAGATTGTCAATCAGATACACCCCCATAGGCCTTGGAGGAGGAAGGGAGCAACGTGTTGAAGCTATTGAGTAATCTTTGCTGATTTTCAACACATCACTTGCTGTACACTTCAGACATGTTTTAAAAAGCAAATAGGATGCTGGTTTTATGCTCTTAGATAACTTTCGACTTAAAAACATGTTTGGTACTGTGTAGTAAGGAATTTGACCTCAAAGAGAGGTTTGGCCTTTGCCACAGCTCTTGGGAGGTAACCTGTTAACACTTAAACTTTCCCAAGTTGTGGGAAGGTCTTTGTTATTTATGGAGGGCCCTCAGGCCTTATCAACCCTACCTCCTGGTTGGGGGAGCTGGAGACTGACTTCAGCCAGGTGGGCCATCATTCAGTCACTCATACCAACATAGTGAAGCCTTAATAGCTGGACACTGAAACTCTGCAGAGCTTCCCTGGTTGGCAGGACCCCACGCATATTGTCCCACATCTGTGCCAAGAGGGACATGCATCCTGAGGGCACTGGGAGCTTCCTGTTTGGAACTCTTCTGGACGCTGCCCTGTGCATCTCTCCCTTTGGCTGGCTCTGATTTGTATCCTTTCCCTGGATTAAATGCATCTGTGAGTACAGCTGCTGTGAGTGGAGTTCTGTGAATCCTTCTAGCAAATTACTGAACATGAGGGTAGTTTTGGGAACCCCCCGAACTTGGAGTGGTCAGGAGTCTTGGGGAGACTTTGCTGTCTGGACCAGGGCTGTGTCTTAAACTCAGTCTGGCTAATTCCGGTGGTACCACAAGAAGTGATTGGCCTGGCTATCAGTTCCTCCAAGACCCCTTCCTTCTCTCCCTCCCTGTGTTTTACTTCTTCCCATTCTCTTTGTCATTCCTTTAAATTTCCATACCTTTTTCTATTCCCCTTCTTTAACTGTCCTTTACTTACCCTATCAATAACACCCCTGAGCCTTAGATCACCTGAACAGTGACATTCAAATTTGGAATGATCTCTGATTCAGGGGATCTACAGTGAAGTGTGCACATATGGCTATTGGGGTACCAGAAGAAAGCAGAATGTCTTTAGATATTTATGGTAAAAACTTCATTCTGGGGCGCCTTGGTGGCTCAGTCCTTAAGCATCTGCCTTCAGCTCGGGTCATGATCCCAGGGTCCTGGGATGGAGCCCCGCATCGGGCTCCCTGCTCCATGGGAAGCCTGCTTCTCTCTCTCCCACTCCCCCTGCTTGTGTTCTCTCGCTGTGTCTCTCTCTGTCAAATAAATAAATAAAATCTTCAAAAATTCATTCTGCCAGGAGTCTTAAAAATGCAAGAATCTCAAAAGAAGAAGATAGCAGGAAGGGAAAAATGAAGGGGGGGAAATCGGAGGGGGAGACGAACCATGGGAGACTATGGACTCTGAGAAACAAACTAAGGGTTCTGGGGGGGGGATGAGTTAGCCCAGTGATGGGTATTAAGGAGGGCACGTATTGAATGGAGCACTGGGTGCTATACGAAAACAACGACTCATGGAACACTACATCAAAAACTAATGATGTAATATATGGTGACTAACATAACATAATAAAATAAAATGCAAGAATCTCATTTGTAAAAACTGAATACATGTAAAGGAAAAGCCTGCATTTATTGAGCTGTAGTTCAATAGGAGACCTCTGTAGATGTTTGATCTCAGAAATTTTAAATACGAGTTTCCCTTATAAAACCCACTTCCAGTTTGGATCCTTGCTGTGAGATAAAAAATTTCTAAATTGTTATTTGATGGGAAAGGGAAAAATACCCCACAACACCTTTGCTTATTTATTTGCAGGTTATAGACAATTTGTGAAATGAGTGACTCTGATGATGACGATATCCCCCGGCTGTCTTCCCACACCTTAGCAGCCCTCCAGGAATTTTATGCTGAGCAGAAGCAACAAAGTGACCCAGGCAGAGATGATAAATATAACATTGGAATAATAGAAGAGAACTGGGTAAGTAAATACATTCCACATCTCTCAGGAAGTATGGGTGCAGCACTGATTCCATACCTGTCTATATCTGTCCGTATCTGTCGGTACCTGTCCGCACCTGTCTATACCTGTCCACATCTGTCCGTACCTGTCTGCACCTGTCCACACCTGTCTGCGTCTGTCCGCACCTGTCCACACCTGTCCGTACCTGTCTGCACCTGCCCACACCTGTCCTCATCTGTACCTGTCCACACCTGTCCATACCTGTCCACACCTGTCCGCATCTGTCTGTACCTGTATGCACCTGTCCATACCTGTCTGCATCTGTCCGTACCGGTCCACACCTGTCCGACCTGCCCTGTGTTTGTCTGCATCCCACTTCACACTCATGTTTGTCTCACCTGCCTCTCAGGAATTGATAGCCTGTCTGGGGAGCTAAGACAAAAAGCAGTCCATGATTATTTAAGACTTTATAAATGTAGATTTTCCTGGTTAGTTGGTGGTCACACAAGGGGACTTTTCAGATAAGGAAACAGCATGTTCATTTATGACCAACACACTTGTGCTTCCTTCTTGTATACAAATGGTTTCTGTTGGTTTTTATGGAGCCCAGCATCCTTGTGGAAGGGGTAAAATATATCATTGCAGCAAATGGGGTAGCTAAACTTAAACATGCAAAAAAAAAAAAAAAGATGAGAGGGAGTTCTAAAGAAGATATTAATAATTTCTGGTGCATAGAATGTATTTTAATTATATTTTTATGGTCTAAATAAAAATAGGAATTAAAAGAGAAAAAAAAATGAGTTGAGGAAAACCAACCTGAGCTGGAACCTAGCAATTTAAAATTTTGAAGGAGATAGTTGAGAAATAGATGAAGCTTGGGTTTTCTGTCTGTGCACACCCCTCAGTAATGGATGTCTCCCTCTGTCACTTTGGAACTAGAAGGAATCTTTTGTATGCTTTTTTTTTTTAATAGCCTTTTACATTTTGTGTCAAGTTTGGATCTCTTAAGTTGTATAAAATTCTCCTATTTACCATCTGTTTGAAACTGACTGATAAAAATATTTCTTTACATTTACACTAAATGTTCTACCTACACAAAAGCCTCTTTCTCACAATTTCCCTTCTTTATGTGTCTTTGTTTTCTGGTGTGATGCTTCTGTATGTAGTAAATGTCAGAGACTTGAAGTATCTCATTTTTCTTTTTCTTTCCCCCCTGCTTAATGTTTGAAGCACTGTGTGTTTTTTTTCTGATTCTAAAAGTAATCTATAGTTGTTGTAGAAAATATATAAAAATATGGACGCAAAAATAAGTTTTTCCTAATCCCAATACTTAAGAATTAAGTATTTTTATAATTTTGACACATTCTTTGATTTGATTTATTAAATTGAGAAAATTTCCTAGCAACCAAAAAAAAAGAGAATGATGCAAGTATTGGAAAGAAAACATTATAAAACTAGAGGATAAATCCAGGAGGCTCAAAATTTAACTGATTGGAGTTAGAAATATAGAACAGAAAACAAAGGGGGGGAGGAAATCTTCAAAGATTAATATTAGAAAATTTCCAGAACTGCAGATCCTTACTAAGACACATGGTTACTTGACTGTGAAAATTCTGTATGCAGGTGACAAGATCTTAGAACCTTCCAGAGGAAAAGCAGGCCACCTACAAAGTCTCAGGATGAGTCACACTGCACTTCTTGATAGCTTTGTTAGAAACTAGAAAAAAGTGGAGCAGTGTCTTCAGTATTTGGAGTAAAATTTTGTTCAGCCTAGAATTCTGTACTCAGCTGGAGCTATCAATCAAACATGAAGATAAAATAAAAAACATTTTAGAAATGGCAAGTCTCATGGCATTGACCTCCCATGCACTGCTTCCCCAAGGCTGCCAGAGAATGTTGGAAGAATTAGAGGTGGGCTCAAAGAAACAAGCAAATGATACATGTATTAAGTCTAGGAAAAAGAAAAGGTAACATACTAGAAGGAAATGGAAGAACATTGACAATGAGTTTAACCAAAACAGGTTACAATT